TGAAGTTCGAAACCACCAGCTGCTCCAATGGAGAAAAATGGGCAATCCCCTCCTATGTGATTTACAGTCTCTGATTCAATAGCAGTTAAGTATGAGATTAAACAACAAATAATTAACATTTTAAAAAGTAATGGCAGGGCTTCGTGACTAGAAGCTGTATTGCAAATCTCAGTGGGTTTTCAGAGGCAGTTAATCACATGGGAAGAGACTGTCCATCCTTTTTCTGTGGAACAGCTGGTAGATTCGAACTTGCCTGAGGGACTGCAGCGCAGTTTCTTACCACTAAGCAAACAGTCATTAGTAAATACAAAACAAAAGCACTTCAGAGTTATCAGTATAACGATAATAAAAAAATAAAACAATAACAAATGTATGTGGAAATATCACACACTACCAATGGAAATGCAATGTGCAGCCATGTTGGAAATCAATTTGGTAGTTCTTCAAAAAAATAAAAACTATCTTATGACTCAACAATTCTACTCCCAGAATATACACAAAAGGATGAAAGTGTGTGTCAGCCTAAGAACTACACAGCTATTCACTGCAGTATCAGCAACTGTAGAAAGTAGAAACAATTCAAGTTCTCATTAACTAAGAAATAAATTGTAGCACAGCCATACAACATCATTAATAACAAAATGCTATAGCATGTATGCTTCAAAAGAAGCTAGTCACAAAGATGTCATATTGCAGGCAAATGTAGACAGACGGACAACCGATTATGGGGTTGCCTAGAGCTGAGGATTAAGTAAGACTATTAAAAAGGCAAAGGTAGAAAGTTACTTTTAGAGATGACAAAATGTTCCAAAATTTATTGTGCTGGCTGCCACAATTCTGTGAATATACTAAAACCTTGGAAAGTTCTGGGGGCATAATGTGAATCCATCAGGGCCTCTCTGGAACAAAGGTGGGCAATCTCCTCCTCTGTGATATTACAGCCTCAGAAACCCAACAGAGGCCACTTCAGTTGGTTCTGATTCAACGACAATCAAAGAGTGTTAGATCAAAACATTCAATCATATACTTTGAATAAGTAAATTATTATAGTATGTGAATTCTACTTCCGAATAGCTGCTAAGAAAAAGAAGTTAAACTCAGAAATGATGTAAACCAGAATGATGGTTACATTAAAAACATCAAATGCACTGCCATGGAGTCAAAAATCAACTCCTGATTCCCTAGTCCATTTCTGAGGCTGTAAATCGCAGGTGTGGCCTCTGGGTTAGAACTCCCTACAAAGGAATAATAACCAGGAAGGGACACAACAGACAACTCTCAGTGCTGGTAATGTTTTATATCTTATAGAGTAGTAATTACAGGAATAAATTAACTTTCTAATATTCACAGCTTCAGTTTGCTTGGCTCCACGGTCAACACTCTTGGCACCAGCAGCCAGGAAATAAAAAAACGTATTGCGATGGGGAAGTCTGCTGCTAGGGACCTCTCTAAAGTACTCAAGAGCAATGGTGTCTCTCTGGAAACTAAGGTGCACCTGATACAGGCCACGGTCTTTGCAATCACTTGTTATGCATCAGAGTTGGACAATGACTAGGGAGGACAGAAGGAGAGTGGATGCCTTTGAGCTGTGGTGCTGGAGAAGAGTACTGAATGTACCATGGACTGCCAAGAAAACAAACAGATTCATCCTGGAGAGCATTAAACCAAGCAACTCCTTGGAGGCAAGGATTCTGGGGCTTCGTCTGACATACTTTGGACATGTTGCAAGGAGGGACAGGTCCTTGGAGAGGGACATCATGCTTGGGAGGGTGGAGGGACAGCGCAGGAGGGGAAGGCCCTCTACGAGATGGATTGATTCAGTGACGGGGGTAATCAGGATGGGTGTGTCAGAGGCAGTGCGATTGGCACAGGATAGAGCAGGGCTTAGGGCTGTTGTACATAGGGTCGCTATGAGTCGCAAACAACTCGATGGCACATAACAACAACAACAACAATATTCACTGAGCCTTACTTGTAAGAAGAGTGTATATTAACTGTTTATGTGCTATCCTTCAATGAAAACATGTTTACTTTATTAAAAATCATTTTTAAGCATTTTTAAAAAACAAACCATAAACCCATAAATTTAAGAGTTAGGGAGCTCTGTAGGCTAACTCAATTGTATGCGGTTCTAATCCACTTGCAGTTCCATGTGAGATGGACAATCTCCTGTTATGCAATTCACCGCCTCTGAAAACCCACAGGAGGGTCAGCTATGAGTGGATCCAATTCTACAGTACTCAACAACAAATTACAATTACATACATTTTAGAAATTCAGAATCTAAGGAAAGTGGCAAAGTAAAATAGTATTTACAATCATATTCTAAAATAGTGACAGACTTTAGGTTAGGTATCAATATGCAATAACTTTCAGACACAGCCTCCCATCTCTAACTACTTCTTGCATCACATTATCTTTACTTCCTTCATAGCACTTGCTACCAAAAATTTTTATTGTCTTCCACATGAGTGGTGATGATGGTGTTTAGCTTCAAGTTGAAATCAACTCACAGGATTTTTAGAGGCAATTAATTGCATGGCAGGAGACTGCACATCTTTCTCCTTCAGAGAAGTTGGCAAATTTGAACCATGTGCTGCTTTTAGGATTGCAGCACAGCTTCATACCACTAGGTCAACCAGGGCTCCCTACTCCACATGAGTTACTGTCATATATTGTAGAGTCAAAACCAACCCATAACTGACCCTCCAGTGGGTTTTCAGAGGCAGTAACTCCAGGAGAAGCTGGTGGCCTTGAACTGCCTGACTTTGGAATTGAAGCACTGTTAGTCACTACTGTATCCGTAATACTCCAAATTAGACGCTTAACAGGCATTCAGAATGAATGAAATCATGGTAACTCTTCCTACAATCTTTTTTGAAAAACAAGAAGTTATTATTTGTTGACCCAGCAACTGAATGCAGATCTGACCATGTTATACCTCAAATATAGCCACCAATGTTATCTTTAATTTTGCTTGAACAATAATAAAAACTATTTAGCAATAGTATCAATATAAAATGGTGGAACAATTCTATTTTATGAACTGTGACTCATCATGAACTAATGACTTTAATAATAAAATTTAAATAAAATGGTAATAAGTGTAGAAAAGGTCCTTCTACAAACAATTTATAGGTTAATTTAGTTGTAGCTTATTTTACATATGGCCAATTAATGCATTTGGATGAAAATTCAGGATAAATTACCAAATAGCATTTCAGGCAGTCTAGGAAAACTTTATTATATGACATGGAGATTAAAGAAGACAGACTGGAAGTCCTTTGCCTTCAAATGGCTGATTTGAAATTATGTCTTAATAAGGATGCTCTATATTCTTTTTGTTTTATCTCCCTTAAATTATTTAATGCTTCTTTATTTAAAAAGTTTTCTGTATGTAAATAAATATTTTTATTATCCAGCTTAAATAAATTAAAATTGAAAGGCTTAGTAAGTAACTCTTCTTTCAGAAAGGGCACATAAAGTACTATCATCAAATCTTTTAAAATCAGATCAGTATTATACATTTTCTCAAAATTTCCTTTTTAATGCACTTCTACAGATATCAGAATTTTAAAAGCATTTTCTCTCTTAAGTATTGCTTATTCTATTCCTGACAGTAGACAGTATGCGCATGTTAATATTTTTATGTCTCAATTCTGTCAACTACAAGGACTTTACATATACGCTAATGTATACTTTGTTAGCATTAGTATAGTAGGATGCTGTATAACTCATTCACTCACTCACTGACTGCTGTTAATTCAGAATCAACTCACAGCTATCCCTCCAGTTTTCTGAAGCTGTAAACTGCATGGGAGGAGAACGCCCATCTTTTTCCTCAGAGCAGCTAGTGGATCTGAACCATTAGAAAGATACCACCTTTGGGTTTGAAGTGCAACTCCCTTCTAACTATGCCATCAGGGTCCCTAAAAACATTTTATAAATGTGTTACTGTTTTTATAAAAAGGAAATTAACATGGTATAAAGAGCATTAATTTGGATTATAGGAAACAAGTTTGCTCTGGGGTTGTGTCGTTAAAACCAGTTTCTTCAATACCATGAGAATTTAAACAAGAAACAATTTCTTGGCCTTTCTACCAATGAGAAGTGAGGCTTTTAATGGGTCAGGATAAAGTTCAAGACCACCCTTATTTCTTCTCTTGGGAATATTCCCAATTCTGTTGGCTATGAAACAATAAACCAGTTTGTAGATTAACAGCAGTCTTTTTAAAGAGTACTCTCCCTGTAACTACTCACACCAAAAAATTTTTCTGCCCATTGTTTAATTGCAACTACCTAGCATGAGAACTCAATACAAAGAATAGAAATACACTTTGAACAAAACTTTTGGCTATTTCTAATAAAACCAGATATTGACAATTTCATGTTACCCTTTGAAAATGAACCATTTAGGAAATGCTAACACATTTATTTTGTTCAATACACTGTCTTTTGTTTTCACCATCTACTTGTTCTTGCAAACAGTTAACACCAGCATTACCGAACACAAGCCACATTTTATAAATGTATCTTGTCTATGAATTGTACTGTCTTTGTAACAAACCGCTTAACAAACATGCTACCAAAGGAAGAAATAACAAAACATTATGTGTGGTTTGTTTTCCAATACATTGAAATAAAAGTTTCTCAAGGATTAATTTTTAAAGCTGGTTTTTAGTTTATATACAGCCATGAAATACACAAACATACACTATCATGAAATTCCTTAAAGTACTGGCTGAAATTGCAAACATCAACAGGTACAAATATATAAAATCATCAAATTAACAAGGGTAAATGTAAAATATCTATGTGTGTAGGTAAATGAAAAAAGAGCACATGTGTACTGCATAACTGAATTTGCCTTAACCAAGCATTTATGAATTGCAAATAAAATTTGGAAAATTTGAACTATTCTATATAAGACAAATAAGGGTTAATAGCAAGATATGACAAGAGAGCAACAATTATGAATTTGCTATTAAACAGGCATTTACCTTTCTGGGCTTTCAGTGTCTGTTCTTCGATTTGCCGAAGACGTTCCATCAGCTCCTCCTTTTCACGTTCTATCCTTTCCTTTTCCTTTTCTGCTATTTCTCTTTTCTTCTTTTCATTTTCTAATTGTGCCCTTATAAAGCATAAAAATTGTCAGTGAGAAAAACTATATGAACTTTGTAAATAAAGCAATGTAAAACAAAGTTTAAAAAGCATAAAAATTGATGTTATAGAACTAATAGTCACATGAAATGTTAGTTTTAAATACACTGAGAAGAAACTACAGTATAATATGGGTTTATAATATGGGCTGATAACCTAAAGGTGGCAATTAAAGCCATCCAGCAGCTCTGTGGAAGAAAGTCCTGGTGAACTGCTTCTATAAAGCCTCCAAATAAGAACACCTTACTGAACAGTTCTAAACTCTATTATGTGAAGCTGCAAGGTGTTAAGAATCAACTTGAGGGGAACTGTGGTGGCCTAGTGGCAAGAAGCTGTACTGCAATCCCAGAGGTATGTGGTTCAAATCCACCAGACGCTCTGCTGGAAAAGGAGGGGCAATCTCCTCCTGTACCTGTTCTTTCTCAAAAAGTTGCAAATAGAGATACCATTTGATCCAGCAATTCCACTACTGGGAATATACCCTGAAGAGACCACAGCTGACATCCAAGCAGATATATGCACACCCATGTTTATTGCAGCTTTGTTCACAATAGTAAGGAGTTGGAAACAACCTAAGTGCCCATCAACAAAGGAATGGCTAGAGAAGCTGTGGTATATTCGCACAATGGAATACTATGCTGCATTAAAAAACAAGGAACTCATGAAATATTATTCAAAATGGTTGACTCTGGAGAACATTATGCTGAGTGAAATATCCCAGTCACAAAAGGACAAATATTACATGATGCCACTGTTGTAGAATGGGACTGTCCTTGAGGTTGGGGAGAGACTGAGTAAGATGGGTTCAATAATGTATACTGCACTGAAACAGAGGAGGGAGAAAACTGTTTAAAAGAGATATATAACTAGGTATTTCTGTCATCACAGGAGTCTAGAGCGAGGGCTACATGGTGGAGGGGACCTGGGGGAGGGTTTGTAAAACAATGAAAGAATCTTTTCTTTTACTTTTCCATAATTTTTGACTCATGTACTTATAACTTGTTAGTCAAATTTGTGTCTTCTAGGTTGCAACACCCCCGTGATACATCTTCAAGGATATGAACATGTACGGCCAAGCACAATCAATAAGAGTGCATCTAAATTCCAAAATCAATCTCCATAATAGTCTATGTGTTTCCTACTGCCAAAGGGGCCCTTTAGAGTAGTGAGAGAAGACCTTCACCCTGAAACCCACAGCGTCCCTTTTCAGCAGGAAGTAGCTAAGAGAATACGCCATCCCCTTTTCCTTATGAATCAGGGTGAGGTCTCTCTCAGGGAGGAGTGATAGGGAATGGCAAAGGACACACTGACAAAGAAGATTAATCAGAACTGGCTTTGACAAGCACTGTGGCATCTGGACAAGAACAAACTGGGAGGAGGGTAGAGAGAATAGTGCAACAATGAATGAATGGAAACCCAAAATCTCTGTAAATGTTTATGAAAATTAATAAAATATAATTATAGAAAAAAAAAAAAAGAATCAACTTGATCCTTTTCAGTGGTGACCTCCACATGTCAAACATGTCTCTCGCAAAGGATCTCCTTCATCCCTCTCCAGAAGAGGAGAAGAGGAAACACAAGAAGTGGTGCCTGGTGCAGAGCCCAAATTCCTATTTCACGGATGTGAAATGAACAAGTTTTGTGTGTCGGCTGCTCCACTGTCCTGTCAGCCTACAGTAGGAAAAGCAAGGCTTAGAGAAGAATGCTCCTTCAGTCGGAAGTAGCATTAAGAAAAACAGCTGAATCAAGATGAATGGAAAAGTATCTCAATAAACAGAATTTTAGATAAAAAAGAAAGTATCAACTTGATGGCAACAAGTTTGGTATTTTGTTCAGAGTATCATTCTGTTAACAGACTTTCTGTAAGAACCCTGGTGGCCCAGTGGTAAAGCACTTAGCTGCTACCTAAAAAATTGGTGATTCAACTCTGCTGGTCACTCAGCAGCGGGAGGCTGTGGCAGTCCAGCCTTGGAGCCTCTGTGGAGTCATTCTACGGTGTTCTACAGATTGATGAGAGTCACAACTGCCATGATGGCAGCAATTCTGGTTTGTGTTTGGAATATGCACTCATAAATGTATATACAAAAGAACCAGTTTATAGAATGTTTCTTATAATGACATTATAAAATACATTCACCGAAGGTGTTAACTGTCCATTGTATCAAGAAAATGTCTTTCACTGAGGGGTAAAAAACCAATACCTTGAAGGGAGCATAAAAGGGTAAATATCTTAGAAGTAAAAATAGCACAGAAGGAAAACAATCTTCAATTGATAAAAAGATGAAAATTATTTAAAATAATTACAAAGAGAAATGAAGTTCTGAGATAGATATATTTATTTATTATATATATATACACACACACATACATACAGTAGCTACCTATAGATGAACCTTAACTACACAACTGAGTTTAACACGTTGCGGCAAATGACGGTAATACACTCGGGGAGGGGGGGGAGTGTCTCTAAGCACAGTCGTCAATTTAAAAGTGTGCAGCAACAGGTTAATAACTCAGAGGACAAAAGTTCTATGACCCTTATATGAAATATGTAGAATTGTTGTTACAGGCAGATGCATCAACACAAGAGTTTAGGGCTATGTGGTGGTGTCATTTACAAGACATGCTGCTAACCAACATGTACATCTCAAAAAAAAAAACCAAAAAAAAAAACACAAAACCATGTACATCTATGGCAATCTGAATTCAAAAATGACTCTGAGGGAGGAAGATGGGGCAGAGTCTTCCCAATAAGATTTACAGCCTTGGTAACAGATGGGACAGCTATCTTGGAACTGGGTCTATGGCAGTGAGTTTGAGGAGCTGGCGTGGGGAAAACAGGGAGCTACTGTTTACAAGACCCTGACTTCTTGCTAAAGCCCTGGTGGCACAGTGGTTAAAGTACTCAGCTCTTAACAGGAAGGTTGATGATTCAAACCACTCAGTGGCAGGAAGACGTGGTAGTATACTACTGTAAAGATTTATAGCCTTGGAAACCTTCAAAGGGGCAGGCAGGATCACTATGAGAGAGAATCCAACTCATATGGCAACATTTCTGGTGTGGTTGTAGCTGGAATTTCTGCTGAGGGAATTGAAAGTTTTGCAAATAGTAATGATGGCTGTATATTTTCATGTTCATTCCTGAAATGAACAAAAAGGAATTCTTTGAACTGGTTGTGACCTATAAATGACCCTCCAGCAGGTTTTCACAGGCTTTAAATTGCAGAAGAGACTGTTCACCTTTTTATGCTGAGCAGCTGTGTATTCAAATGGCTTGCCTGTTAGTGGGCAGTACAATTCCTCACCCCATAGGCCACCAGAGCTCCCAAAAGCACTGAACTACACACTTAAAAATGGAAAAATTATATACCATATATAGAGGATCACAAGAAAACACTTAAACAAGTTTCAATTTGCAGGTGGTATCCATTTATGCCTAGATAAAGATGACATAATAATTTTCTTTTCTTTGACCATTCCATTAGAAGGACAGTGTCTAACTCTCGGTCCCTGTGGTTTCCCGCTCTGCCTCACAGAGGCTGTGCAAGACAGAATAGAACCACCTTAGGTTACCAAAGCTGTAAATCTTCACAGAAACAGACTGCCTCCTCTTTCTTTCAAAAAGCATCGGTAGATTATTTTGGTTAGGAGCTGAAAAGATATATGTATAATGAGTTTTTTAACTCTGGTGGCCTAGTGGCAAGAAGCTGCAGTGCAACCCCAGAGGTACGCGGTTCAAATCCACCAGATGCTCTGCTGGAGAAAGGAGGGACAATCTCCTCCTGTACCAGTCAGATCTGATTTGATGGTACACGCACAAAAAAGTAATGAAATAAAGATTATCATCAGAGCTCAGTGGGAAAGAGTGCCTTGACCACTCAGCTCTATCTGCTATGGGTTTCATGAAACTATTTTTCCCCTTTCATTTTAGTGAAGAATTATAAAGTGACTGGTTTCCTATAGTTAAGTCTATTCATTAAACATCTATCAAGAGCCTACCACAGACGAGACAGCGTCAGTGAACAAAAACACAAAAATGAGCATGAGAGATAAGATGCTTTAGATAATATTTTGGAATTATGTGAGGACCCAATAAATGTTTAAAATTTTATTTTTATTATGATTTATATTTTTATTTTTATTATCATTTTATTAAAATCATTATGTTTTACTGAAAAATAAACGGTTGTGTGATTTCATCTCTGAAACTTATCAGAATATGCCAGAATCTTCACAGAACGACATCACTGCCATCTGGCGACAGCTCTGAATTTCAGGCACAAAGACAAATAAATTGTTTCTCAACTGCCACTCTCTGATAAACATATGAACAAAATTATACTATCAAACCTTTTCTTGATCTATAAACTGAAATTTTTCTGCAGTTTTCAGACATCAATATATTGCTAACATAGAAGACTATCTATATTCACAGTAAACAGCTAGAAGTTGCTGTTAAGTACCGCTGAGTCGAAGAAGACTCATAGCGACCCTATGAACAAAAGACCTGAACACTTGTATAACTTTCGTTTCTCCACGTTCATAGGGTTTCCGGAGGCAAGCTATTTTGGAAGTGGATACCACTCCTGATTCCAAGCTTGTTTTAAGCAGGGAGCTCCACCAAACACTGTCTACCATGGGTAACCATTATTATATTTGACACATCAGTGTCACAATGTTCAGCATCACAGTAACCACGAGTTACCCCTGTACAGAAAATGGACAGACCAGTGCTATACCACTTAGAAGAATGTTTGACCAAAAACAAAACCAGGACTGAAGGCACAGATTAAAATCAGACTCCTTTGGCTTTGCAGCTTAACTTTCTATTCACTAGGCCAACAGCAAACAGCTAAAGCTGTCATAAATTAATACGAAGTAATACTTGGTGGGTGACCTCATCTTGTGTCAAGCTCATGATGTACAAGAGTCATTGCAATGACATAATCAGTGTTCACTGCATTTAAGAATGTAGGGCCTGGCACTCTATGAGGAAAGCCTATGTCTGTTCAGAAATTTCCTACAAGGTACTTTCTCATCACCAGAAGGGAGAGCCACCAATACGTCATGCCTTCTCCCACTTCAACAACTTAGCTAACTCTCCTTTCTCTTTACCCTATCTTAATCTATGTAGCATATGTAGAGAAAATTATTTAAGGATTTGGGAGTTCCACCCCTTTTAGACAGCATGTTGCTGTTAATAGCAAGTGTCAAGTCAACTACGACTCACTGCAACCCTATAAATCTTGCTCTATTGTGTGCCATCCTCAAAATCTCTGCCATGTTCTCAAATCCAATGTTGTGCAGCTTTTTCTCCTCATTCTGAGTCTTGTCACATTGGCAAATGAAGGTCCCGTGTTGAGAAAAAATATTACTCCTTCTGTTATTAAGGTTAACTCTTCCTTGTGGAGGCAATTTCTTTCCTAGATGTTGTAGTCTGAGTGTCTTTCAACCTGAGAGCCTCACCTTTGGGTATGAGACCATGTAATGTTCCAATGCTATTCACAGGGTTTTAGAGGGCTTATTATTTCAGAAGTGCATGGCCAGCCCTGCTTCTTTTTTAGTCTGTCTTAGTCTGGAAGCACTACTAAAACCTGTCTACCATGGATAACCCAAAGAATAATAATAGAATGTCCTAAGTTCTTTGGGCAAACGAAGGGCTTGGCAGCCCCTCTCTCTTTGTTCGTTAGGCAGCTATTTTCCACAAAAACGAAGGCAAAGCATTTTTTAAGTAATTACTAGTACAGCTATGAGCTACTCTGTTTCCTCCCACCTGGGGAGGTCAATTAGCTTGTACCGACCACTTGCCAGCCTATATTAGTGCATCCAGCAGTTAGTTTGTTCCCTTATGGCAAATACCCTCCTCTCACTTCAAGACCTGAAACATTTGAAAAGGCCTCACTCTACACAGTTGAAGGTTATAATATTCCAGCAACTCAAAACTTTCACATGCAACGTTCTTCCTCAAAGATGGAAGTAAAAGAAAAAAGGAAGCAGGAAAGATGATTAAAAGATAAGCTGGCCACAAGCAAGCCTGGGGCAGAGGCAGGGTACAATTTTCATACTGAAAAATGGAACAGATAGCTGATACTTAAACTGATTAGAACATTTAAAACATTTTAGTAAGTTTACTTTGTTTGACTCTTTTTATGTTCCCATGTCTCATGAGAACTGTCTCCTAACTAAGGTCACAAAATACTTGGCTGCAGGTGTCATCAAGTTGGTTCTAATCCACAAGGACCCGATACAACTGAACAGAACACCGCCTGGCCCTGGGCCTCCTGCCATCAGTTACTGCTGTGTTTGCACCAAGGGAACATCTTCTTTCTTTTTCACAAATTTGCTATTTTGCTAAGTATGATTTCCACCTCCAGGATCTGGTTCCTCTTGACAAATGAAAAAAGTATGTGAGACGAAAGTCTTGTTGTCTCAGCCATGATACTGGATACAGTCCTTCTAAGACTTATTTGTTCTTTTGGTGATCTACAGTAGAGCAAATACTCTTCATCAACTCCAGCATTCAGTCTTCCTTATCCATTGTCCAACCTTCACATGTATATGAGGTGACTCAAAATACCAATGGCGTGGGTCACGTCCACCTTAGACTTCCAAGTGACATCCTTGTTTTTAAGTACTTTAAAGTGCTCATTTTGAGATTTGCTTAATGCAATACAAATCAGAGTAAGAGTAAACCTAGAGTAAATACAGCACCATCACCAAATGGTACTTATTCACCATAATACATGTACTAGAAGATGCTAGATCAAGCTTCTATCTTATGTAAAACTATAAAATACTTTCTTACTTTTAACTCATGAATAGATGCTGAGACAACAGAATCTTTCAAAGCGTGTAAAAGATGACAAAGAGGCTGTAAGAAGTTTGCCTTTTGAGAAAGTTGGATTAAAAGGCTACAATGGATAAGAATGAAGGCCAAGTTATGCATATAACAAACCACATTAAGGGATGTTACAGAAGTTTTCTGGACATAGTCAAATAACTACTGGGAAGATTTACTGGGTCAAATGGTCAAAAGTGTTGAGGGAATTGGTTGAACACAGTTTACAAAGATAATGTTCTCTACATGCTAGCTCAAGTAGCATCTGGGAGGTGTTTAAAGCCTGTGAGCAGTCATCTAAGATACAACTACTGGTCTCTACTTGTATGAAGTAAATGTGAATAAAAGACATCAAAAGCTCAAACAAACTAGTCCTAGGGTCTAATAGCTCAGGCAAAAACCAGCCTCTTGGAAACTTGAGACCAGAAGACCTAACCTGTACTCAGCCATCATGACTGGCCAATCTGACCAAGACACAGCAGAAGATTCAGGAGAAAACAGAGAATTAAAACTCAAATTCCTGAAACAAAATTAAACAAACCCAAAGCGAAAGAGTCAGACCAACTGGACCAATTAAGAGAAACTAGAGGAAGTTCCAACATTACTGCCCTAACATAATCTGTGAACTAGGAACTGAGGCCATTTCGACAGGTTACTACTCTTCAGCCAAATAATAGACTGGCTTATATACAAATGTCAATTGTGAGAAGTATGCTTCCTTAAACAATTAACTACAAGAGACACAAAACAGTCAATATTTATCCAAAAGTAAAAATGAGAAGGTGAAGAAGAAAGATGTGAAGGGAAGCTAGGCCAATGGAAACAAAACAAAGGGGAAACTGTAATACTGACACACTGTAGAGAGAACAAAACCATCTATTAAAATTATTAAAGGACAAATTAATTTTCTATATAAACTTTCATATCTAAAACAACAGTATTTTTTTAAAAAAAATATGAAGTTCAATAAGGAACTTTTTAAAAAGCATAGATCGAACCACAAATGACCTTAAGACACATGAGAGCAGTAAATTGAAGTAATAATCCAACTTAGTATCTTTAATGGTGAAATCAGGTATTACTGGAAAGCTCACACATCAAACTAAAAAAAAAAATCTTTTGCTCCACAATCTGAATTTAAAAAATTAATTCTCTACAACCCCCATTGCATACTCCTACGATAAAAATAATGCCCTAAAATATAATACTTTTAGACTATTCTCTCCCCCATAGACTTCAAGTAGA